GGAGTTGAGGGAAAGCCTCTCTAAACTGGAAACTTGCAGACAGCTGGACTTGAGTCCAGAACCACGTCCATGCATAAAGAAGAGCCATGCAAATGTCCTGGGGTGGGGACAAAGTCAGCATGATCTGCAAAGAGCGGAAAGCTAGTGTGGCTGGAGTGGAGTGAGCAGAGGAATACTAATCCTAGATGAAGATGGACAAATTGCCAGGGACTAGAGAATATAAGGCCTTCTCTGCTGGAGTAAAGAGTGTCACTTTATTCTAAATTCAGTGGAACCCAGTGGGCAACTTCAAGCCACGAATGGGCATGGTTTAATTGGTGTGGTATTAATGTTTATGTTATAAGCCATGATTTTTTTTTTTTTTTTTTAATTCTGAATATTTGTATGGTCAAGACTTCCTCGCTGGGTTACTTTTCACTTCATGCTCCTCTCCACTGGGGGGCTCCAGAGATTGTCATAAGAATGTAGCCTGGTTGGTTTCCCAAGTAACTTCTTTGTGACAGTCTCCTCAGTTTCTCTAAGAGCTATGTTTAAGGTAGGAATACTGACAATATGAGCAATTGAATAAATAAAAGATTAAAATACAATCAGCTCTTTGAAATGGGTCTGACTTTCATTTACTACATATGACATAGTAATAAGAATCACTATTTTTCCATAAAACCTATGATATGCCAAGCCTTTACGTGACTAAATGCATTAGGATTGATTCGTAGTTTTATTTTAAGCAAAAGTGACTGTACCAACAGAAGATTTGTAGAACAGGTCTGAGAAGTATTGAGACAGAACCTAGTAGCCTACTAATTAATTGACAACTTTAACAGCTGACAGTTCCCGTGTGTTTACTCTGTGCTGCCTAGCACCATGCTAAGTGATTATATGAATTATCTCATTTAATCTGTCATCAACTATAGATGGTAGGAATGACCATTATCCCCTTTACCGAAATTGGAAACTGAGGCTCAGGGTCTTTAAATGACTTGGCCAACATCTCAGAGATATGAAATGACTAAGCTGGCATTTGGATGAAAGACTGCCTGACTCTGGGGCCCTTTATGCTAACCAGAAGACTAAAATGAAGAGAATTCCAGGGAATTAAGTTCTAGTCTTAGACCGTTTTCTTGCCCTTTCAGTTTTCTCAGGGAGATAATAATACAGGTCCGACAAATTTGTAGTGCGTCTCCAGTGCTATGAAGATAACCAAAGTGTTTCATAAGCTACTAGATGTTACTCAAAAACAATGTATTTTCTGCCAGGTGCCTTCTTTTTGCCTTAAAAAGAATACCTCCTCCCAAAATAAATTCCTTAAAATTTTTTTCCTGAACTTGGATGCCATTTTTTGGAACTTGACCCAAATTACACATTAAATGTTAATGTATGATCTGGTTCTCGCTCAGATAGGAATTGGCAACATAAGGTAAGTTTCTATTGAATTCGGCTACTAACTCGCTGTGTAGCTTTGGGCAAATCCCTCCCTCAGGATCCTATATGCAAAAGGAGAGAATGGGTTAGTTGAAGTTCAAGGTTATTTTCAGTTGTAAAGTACTGGGGTAGAATGTCACCCACGGCTGAGATAAGAAACAGAAGAGGAAAAGGGCTAGGTTATGATACAATAAGAGAATTATCCTGAAATATTTGTTTAATGAGTCAGTTATGGGGCTCTTGACCAGAAGGTGACCACTGACGTCTTCAACAATCTCAGCAGATATTTAAGATGCAGCAGTCATCATTCTAGGAGCACATACTACAAATGATGAACAAAGCCAGTATGATTCCTGCAGCCTGTGGAACTTTACGTCTCGATAGATCAAAAAGTGGGAGTCTGAAAAAGACATTTCAGCCACAGGTGCATCTTCTCGCACCAACTGAGTTTTTAACATTTTTTAAAAACTTGTCCATGTTTAAAAATAATGGGAGATTTCACATAGTCTCATTTCCAGCTTTTCTTTTAAAATCTCAATATTTGGCAGTGCTGAGCTGGCATTTCCGCACGGTAGGGAAATGCTGGAGATGAATAGAAGCTGTCACCATGCCACCTCCACCACCGCCCACCATTACGCACCTTCGCCATTTCAGCAAGCAACCTATGTGCCAGTTCCCTGGTGGCTTAAGTGTGTGTGACTGAAGTTTGAGGGAAAATAGTAAGAAGTTATTTCAATCGTGATGGCTGTTACAAAGGAGAAGTACAGGGTGAGAGACCATAGAAACTTCCAGTGAGATTGCCTTCATCCCTGAACCCCTGTCCCCTGCCCCCACTGCCACGCGCAGAGAAGGGCGACTGCAATGTATGGGGTATATGGGGGCTGGGAGCCAGGAGACCTGGGTCCGCAAAAGGTTCTCTCAATTGTTATGTCACACTGGGCACGTATTTTCCTTCTCTGTGTCTCAGTTTCCCCAGGAGTAAAATAATCTGCTAAACCATGATCGTTTTGTAAAAATCCTTCTTTTCGGGACCTCTATAAATCTGAACCCTCTCTTCGCTCTCCACAATACCTCAAGGAAGTGTTAAAAGAAACCTTGCCTTTCACCATCTCAGATCTACAGGTTCGTACCCGCCACTCCCATATCCACCATCCTCGGTGGTGCCGCCCGAATATCTTGGAGGGGAAGGGGGTCACTTCAGGGGAACTGGGCCTGGGTCCGGGAAGCGGGGGCGTGCTCAGCGTCCCGGCGACTCCACACTGGGCCAGGGCGCCG